AATTTTTTTAAGTTTTTAATTCTTTCAAGTTTTTAAATACAACTGAAAAATAAACAAAGAGACAACGATAAAAAAAGATTAAGTACTTGTAAAATTAAAAATGTTAACTTATTGAGTATTTTTGTCGTTTCTTTACTGTCAATCTTTTGCTTCGCTTCAATGGAATTGTCACTCGCGAACAAATCATTTGTAAAAGCTGTTTGGAATAAAAGTCAATGGTGAGAACCTGTTTATGAAGAATGCCATTTACGTTCGTCGTTCTTGGAGGATTTCTATAGTAGCTCACACATAATCCAGTCATTGACGTCGGTGCGGAACTTCATGCTGAGAAGTCCGAAGTGATTTTTCACAACTCCGCACACTCTTCGCGGGTGATCTATGGTCGCGATCCTGGCGCGGGGCCAGGATCGCATTTCCTCGACCGGGAGTGTCAGCGACTCCGAGAGCACACACCGCAGTCAACTTTCTTAAGACCCTACTACGAAAAGTCGTGAAACGTCGCGGGATCCGGAATTATTTTCGATGGCCGTACGGCCTGGCGTTTATGAAAAGCTTATGGGGTTGTAGTTAAGTCGTATAATCTTATATTTAGCGCGTCTCGACGTCTCTTCGAATTATCCTTCTTTCCGGAGTCATCGTCGGAGTCGAGACAAATTCTCTGAGGCTCGCAGAGAGTTTCTTTCAAAATCCTTTCTCTTACAAACGTATTTTTTGTAAATTTTCTTCTCGCGAAGTGAGTTACTGCTATGTGATTCGAGAGAAATATTGACACATGCGCCGCAGCAGCGAGGACGTAAAACGACGAGGACAAGACTCGGGAAACACGTCGATGTCAATGAGATCGCTCGCTCGAAAAGCGAACGAGACCGAGGGATGTTTTTATTTAATTTTATTTTCTTTGTCGAGATACAAGGTTTGGAACGCGGGGAAACTCGATTGCGATCAGAACCTCGTTAATCAAGGTATTTACACGCGAGATCGGTCGCCGGTCTATCGATATGCGAGCCGTCGTCGCGAATCGATC